ATCCACTCCGTTGAGCTATCATTTGTGGCCCAGGTCGTTTCTGACAAAAGAGCTCAGTGGGCCTTACATGGTAAAGTAGAAACAAAATTGTAGAGTATAGTGGTAATATTTTGATTTAAAGCTTTCGTGACTGCAGTAATTCATATTCTTAGCTCTTTCGGTAAAGTAACGTTGAAGGGAAACAATACAATAATAAAATATATATAAAACAATAGAAATTCTCACGACGTTTCGACCATAACACAAACGGTCGTCATCAGGTGTGAAAACCAACGGCAAGAAACATTTGAAAGAACTGTCGGTTTGCATTTATTTATTTTTAAACGGCATATTTATTTATTTATAAAAACGGCAGCGCCACGCGCAGCGATTTGGCAGTTTATTTAGAAGGACTAGTCCATCTATGTTCTGAAAAGAGGAGGGGGGAGACGAAAAATTAATGTATGCTGTCTGAAAGCCACTGTAAGCGTGAACAATCAATTAAGACCTGAAATGGTTTATCAAATTTTTCCAATGATTGCTAAGCCAGACTCCATCTTCTCGGTTGAAATTGTCTCTGTGCTTGTATATGTGGATAGCCTCATGAACGAATCTCTCATGGTAGCCAGATGGCTTACAAAGAACCTCTGTCTTGGAGAGGTAAGCCATCTGGCTACCATGAGAGATTCGTTCATGAGGCTATCCACATATACAAGCACAGAGACAATTTCAACCGAGAATATGAATTCTGGCTTAGCAATCATTGGAAAGATTTGATAAACCATTTCAGGTCTTAATTGATTGTTCACGCTTACAGTGGCTTTCAGACAGCATACATTAATTTTTCGTCTCCCCCCCTCCTTTTTTCAGAACATAGATGGACTAGTCCTTCTAAATAAACCGTCAAATCGCTGCGTGTGGCGCTGACGTTTTTAAATAAATAAATATGCCGTTCAAAAATAAATAAATTAATGCAAACCGACACACCTGATGACGACCGTTTGTGTTATGGTCGAAACGTCGTGATAATTTTTATTGTTTTATATATATTTTATTGTTTCCCTTCAACGTGACTTTACCGAAAGAGCTAAGAATATAGTGGTAATGTTTATATTCGTGACTACATTACATCTATCCCTCTATTTAAGAACGAAACAGGAGAATTTATTCACAAATCTGGCTGTCGTCTGATGATGCTCATTGCAATTATTGGCGAAACATCGTACTCAATAAATGTTGTGGATTTACTCTCCAAAACACCGGTGTGCTGTACTAGTGTAGTGTCAGCAGAGCGGGAGACAAGGTTCTTGAGGAGGCACCTTCTTTATTCACACTTTCAGGTTCGCAAGTTCGCCCTGTTGTATATATAGGTGTTATGAAAATTAATTAAAATAATGAAAATTAAATGAAATTTGAGATTTGCATAATTTATCCGAAATTATGTTAATCAGTGTAATTATGCACATAAATTATGGTGATTCGAGAGATAATCGTATTAATGTGTGCGAGTGGGCGTGGTTAGGATAATGCAGGTCGTTATGGATTATCAGGTCGAGCCTCGGTGACTAGGATTGTGTTATGAATTGGAATGACGCAATTAATCGTATGCAGTGACGCAGGCATTGTGAGCGTGAATGAGAGAGAGTCGATTCGACTCTGCTCTTTAATTCCGTATTATCGATAAGGATACGATTACTCTCGATTGAACATTACGAATTATGTGTGTTATGGATTATGTGTGGTGATAGTGTGCTTATGATAGGTCCCCAGGATTCAGATCTCATACGCAGAACAATATTATGCAGAATTTCAGGAAGAATCACACACAACCTTTATGCTTTAATCAATTTTATTCTCTAGCTAACTTTAATTTTTGGATAATATGAAAACTCAATCTCGGGATGTTGGAATTTCAACACAGCGTTAACATGATACCATCACGATTGCGTTGTTTCACCTCGATAGCGGCACCTGTGGTTAATTCCCGACGCGTAACGCAATCGATCAGTTGTTGAGAGAGAGATTAAAAACATGCAAACTATTCTATCAAAACCTTAACCTTATAATATGCAAACTCGTATTCTTGAATGATTACACAACACGGCACTCGGTCTTTGATTCGTATCCAATCCTTAACACATTCTGATATGCGAAATTATTATGCTTGAAATCGTCAGCACAGTACCACGGCGATGTTCGTTCATTGATTCATCAACGATTATGCAATTAAAGCGTTCGACTGAAATAATTCTGATTGCCTCATCAACGTAACTCAATGGGTGGCGATGTTTTTCGTTATCAGCTAATAGTTGACGCAGTTATCATGAGTCTTGTATGTTTAATGGGAGCGTTGTTGATTTCTTGCGTTGAGCAAACGCCTAGGTTGATTTCCTTGTCAAAAAAATGTTTGTTCGTTGTGTAGCGGTGGGGGAGTGAGGAGGGGGGGAGAGTGTGGGGGGCATACGAACGACTGCCAGTTTCTGTCCACCGCTGGCTGGATGAGTCAGCACGACGCTCGCCGTCGTCGCGCCGATGGGTGTTGAGTGCGGGGCCGCTGCCCTCTCAGCCCTGGTGACGCGAAGTTGCGCGCTGTAGCACGCTGGTGGCACGCTGTTGGCACGCGCTGGTGCTGGTGGCACGCTGGTGGCACGCTGTTGGCACGCGCTGGTGCTGATGCTGGTGCTGATGGCACGCTGGTGGCGCGCTCCCTCTCCTTGAAGATGCGCGAACGCGCCCGTGCTGGTTCGCTGATAGCAGTTTCTCTCCACTGCTGGCTGAGCTGCTGCACGCTCTTGCTTGGCGTTGCTGGCCGCGCTCTTTCTCCTTGAAGATGCGCGAACGCGCCCGTGCTGATTCGCTGACAGCAGTTTCCTCCACTGCTGGATGAGCTGCGCCGGGGCGCGCTCTTTCCGCTGCTGTAGTATCTGACGCTGTGCTCGCGGGCGACAGGTCAAGTTTTTCTTCTGCTGAGTGAGCTGAGTCGCACGTGCTTTCTCTGTTGAAGTGCGCGAACGCGCCCGTGCTGGTTCGCTGACAGCAGGTTTCCTCCATTGCTGTATGACTCACTTTTGTTGATACATCGCGACTCAGCGATCCTCGCTACTCAGCGAGGCTCGGAGCCAGCCGCTCCATGCGACTGCTCGTCCTGTGGACGACTTGACTCGCTGATCTGTCTTCACTCTTGACTGTTGACTTCTCTGACTTTTGAAAATGCGGCTGACCGTTATATTCAAAGACAATTCTCTCTGCGCAGTGGAAAAGGGGGGGGCGGGGTCTGTGTGTGTGAGTTTGTGTGTGTGTGTGTACAGATGGCTCCTGCGATAACGATCTGTTTGCCCTGGCGTGAAATTCCTCTCTCGCGCTCTTCGGGAGAGACAAAGGTGGTCGGGAGTACCTATCTCCTTATACTTTCGACTTTATATTTCTCAAATACAATTTGGTCCCATGTTCGCCAATACTCGTGTTTGTAACTACGTCCTCCCGACACCCCTCTCGGGTTACCGAGGTTCGCATTGATATGATGGAGTTATTAGAAAGACAAATAATTTTCATCCTGAGTTTAAGAGGTCCGTTTCCAGATTGTTGGAATCCATATCCCTTGGTTCTGTAAGGTTCTATAATGGAATATCGTTTAAGGTTAACACGTTATTATTAATGTTATATTGCAATTTTCTTTAAAACTTTGTTTGCCTGGTTGCCGTGTGTGGGGTGGGGTGTGTCTCCTCATCAAACCCGGCTGGCTTTTCAAGATGGCCCCTTGTGATAACGTGTAATTCCTGCTTCTCCGCGCTGTGAGAGAGACAAAGGTGGTCAGGGTTGCTTGGGATATTGTTTAAACTCTTTCGTAAGTTTGCCCGTTCGCCTCATTCCTTCTCGATAACCTTTGATGTGACTCGGTATTTTTTCTCCAAGCTTTGTTTTAACAGTAAAAGTATTAAAGGTGAAAATCATTTGATAGCGAATTAATTATTGGATAATAATTCACTGATGTATCTGGTGGCCTGGTCTTGATTGGAGTGAGCGCGAGGACCGCTAACTTTAGCTTATTCTTGTTAATGCATTTTAAATTTGACCGTTGTTTTAATGACAAAGGAAAAAATATATATATGGTTAACCCGTGGGCGTCCTCGTTTCTGGCTTGCGGAGGGCTTCCCTCTGCGTGACCTCCCTTAGGGCACATCAAACTCTTGTTCATCTGGAGATCTTCGCAGATAGCTGCTAACATCCTCGCCTCGAAAGTTGTATTATTTCTTTATTTATTAATGGCCTGTTTATGACCTACATCTGGTTTTTCGTGTGCCTGGCTTACGGGGTTTATTGATTATTTTTTTTGTTTGTTAAAAAAATATGATATATAACGGCAAATATTATTGTTAATATCAATTTTGGAAAAGGCTCATATACAACAGCCCTCGCTTCTCCCAAGTCATATAGCCCAGCCTAGACACAACCCTGGCCGTGTTACACTGACGGCGTCGACCGAGATGGCCAACAACTGTCCAGTGACGAAGGCGGCAGAGACGAATGCGACGAGACGAGACCACTTCCCAGAACCGGCAGCCATGAGTTTTCGCTGTCCGCTGCGTTTATCCTACCCGGCGCAGCCTGGCCCCGCCCTGGCCCCGCCCTGGCCACGCCCTGGCCACGCCTACCTTCTCAAACCCACTAGCGGGTTCTAGGGGCTTCCAGACGGGGTCTCTGTGACCCCAGTTCCTCCTGCTTGCCGACACACAGGCGTAAATGCTCACCGACGTGTGTACTGCTCGTTTACCGCAGTTACCGTTGCTGGACAACAGACGGCGCTATTACACTACACTCGTAACGAATTGGCATGTTCTGTTTACGTGACAAGCCTTACTAAATGGCTGTGTCGGATGGTGGCCGGTTTAACGATACATTTATATTTACGTGATCTAACACGAAAAAACCTCTGTTATGGATCCATATAAATGTATTTTATTATGATATTGCAGAGCCATGTCGGAACCCCTTAATAAAGTGTGTGTGTTCTCTCTGTTCAGTTTGTGGGACTGCTCCTTGACGGATGATTCTGGCTCAGCTCTACGCGACATCGCCGTCAACTGCTGCCACTTGAGGAAACTCAAGTAAGTCAGAAGATAAACAAGAGAATGATCACGACAGCGTGTGCCTCTGCAGATGCTAGATTTGCTTTTCGAGATTACTGGAGACAGCAGGCTGTATCACCTTATAACCTCCTCAAGGGATTTTTGGTAGTGGGCTGTACCACCTTGCTACTTTCAAAATCAGGGTTTTCATTTATGCTGGAGGAATCAAAATGAGCGATGAAGCTTTTTTTTCACAGATGTCTCGTAGGGGTCACGGGGTCAGAAAGTTACAACAACAAACAATACAAACAACACGATAGGAGTGCAAATCCATTAAAATGGGGGTTCTACTGTGCATTTGGCTTTTACAGGCTCAACGACAACAAGCTCATGGATGCCGGCATGAGGATGTTGGCGGACGGAGTGTCTCAAGGGAAAGGGCGTTTGGAGGAGTTGCAGTTGAGTTGTCGACGTCCCCCCGACCGGTGCACGTTGGGGGGGGGGGGCATCAGGATATCGCCGACGTTTTTCAACAACGTCTCGGCTGGAGAAGTAACAACAATGGTGGAAAACGAAACCGTCATCCAACGCGTGCGCCTATTTTTGGTGATGTTTGTTTTTAGTATTTGGAACAACTCGCTGACCGAGGACTCGGGTCCTGCGCTTTACGACATCGTTGCTGCGGGCCAAGGCCTCAAGGAGCTCGGGTAAGTTCTGAACCTTTTCCTACACCACATCAATTCTAGACATCCCGCCATCAAATTCACCATGGAAGTGGAGAAAGATGGCAAGCTACCATTCTTGGATGTTCTGTTTGAGAGGAGACCTGATGGCCCACTGGGGCATTCTGTCCACAGGAAACCCACCCACACAGATTCCTACTTGAAACCTGATTCCCACCACCACCTAGCTCAAAAGAATTCTCTCATCAAAACGTTATACCACAGGGCACATTGCATTTTGGACCAACACCACCTGACCAGTGAATTAAAACATGAACACCTGGCCCTCAAGAGAAACGGATACTCTGACCGTACCATCCGCCAAGCTGTTTCTCCCGCCATACATAAACAACCACTTGATACTCCGGTCAAAACCATCACACTACCATATATAGCAGGCATTACTAAAAATATCTCCAAAATTTTAAACAAACACAAGATCCTGGTCCGGTTCAATACAGTAGACAATATCCGTGACCTGATCCCATCCGTGAAGGATGTCGTTCCTGACTTACAGTACCCCGGGGTTTACAAATTGAGCTGCACTTGTGGTGATTGCTATATCGGGGAGACGAAGCGACATGTCTCTGACCGAATTCGCGAGCACAAATCAGATTTGAAACACGGCAGAACGAATTCTTCTGCTGTAGCTGACCACTGTTACAACGCTGTGGGTGATCACGATATAGTTTTCTCCGATACTAAGGTTCTCTGCAAACCCACGGGTTTTTATCAGAGATTTGTCCACGAGGCAATTCAGATTTACAAACACAGACACAATTTCAACCGAGAGGATGGTTTCAAATTAAGCAATCATTGGAAACATGTTCTAAATCAAACCAAACATTAAACTAATTTTCAATGGTACAGTAATTTTTTTTCAAGTAGTGGTATCCCAAACTTTCACAGCTGCTTATTTCTCTCCACTCACTCACTCCACTCACTCCACTCACTCACTCACTCCACTCACTCACTCACTCCACTCACTCACTCCACCCACTCACTCCACTCACTCACTCCACTCACTCTACTCACTCACTCCACTCACCCCACTCACTCCACTCACTCACTCCACTCACTCACTCACTCCACTCACTCACTCACTCCACCCACTCACTCCACTCACTCACTCAACTCACTCCACTCACTCACTCCACTCACCCCACTCACTCCACTCACTCACTCACTCCACTCACTCCACTCACTCACTCCACTCACTCACTCACTCCACTCACTCTACTCCCCCCCCCCCGTCATGGTCCCCACCCGCTCCTGGTCCATCATGGCCCATGCACCTCCTATGTACATCGTGCTCATTTTTATGCTAATTCCTTTGTCAAAGCGTTTTGCTTCCTCCCACACAGCTTAAAGGACGCGACCTGGGCTTGGCTGTTTTCACTCCAACGCTGTCCTCATTACAGCACGGTCCCTTCACCTGATGAAGGCCATTTGTGTTGTGGCCGAAACATCGTGATTTTTGTTATTTTATTTTTTACCTACGTGACTTTACCGAATAGAACCAAAGAGTAAAGTTCTGTGACAACCAAATAACGTCGTAATTATTTTTCGTATACCGGGTCTCTTCTTACGAACTTTCGACTTACAAACTTTAAGAGATAGGAACCAACCTGGTCCACATAACCAGGTTGCCTGTTCGGACCGAGAGCCGTAAGTTCAATCGCTGCACAATAGACGGTAGTGGTGGCATCTACATCTACAGAACGTGAAGAACCAGTGGCATCTACATCTGCACAACGTGAAGAACCAGTTGCATCTACATCTGCAGAATGTGAAGAATCAGTGGCATCTACATCTGCAGAACGTGAAGAACCAGTGGCATCTACATCTGTAGAACGTAAAGAACCAGTGACATCTACATCTGCAGAACGTGAAGAACCAGTGGCATCTACATCTACAGAACGTGAAGAACCAGTGGCATCTACATCTGCAGAACGTGAAGAACAAGTGGCATCTACATCTGCATAACATGAAAAACCAGTGGCATCTACATCTGCACAACGTGAAGAACCAGTTGCATCTACATCTGCAGAACGTGAAGAACCAGTTGCATCTACATCTGCAGAACGTGAAGAATCAGTGGCATCTACATCTGCAGAACGTGAAGAACCAGTGGCATCTACATCTGCAGAACGTGAAGAACCAGTGGCATCTACAGAACATGAAAAACCAGTGGCATCTACATCTGCAGAACGTGAATAACCAGTTGCATCTACATCTGCAGAATGTGAAGAACCAGTGGCATCTACATCTACAGAACATGAAGAACCAGTGGCATCTACATCTGCAGAACGTGAAGAACCAGTGGCATCTACATCTGCAGAACGTGATGAACCAGTGGAATCAACATCTGCAGAACGTGAAAAACCAGTGGCATCTACATCTGCAGAACGTGAAGAACCAGTTGCATCTACATCTGCAGAATGTGAAGAACCAGTGGCATCTACATCTGCAGAACGTGAAGAACCAGTGGCATCTACATCTGCAGAACGTGATGAACCAGTGGCATCTACATCTGCAGAACGTGAAAAACCAGTGGCATCTACATCTGCAGAACGTGAAGAACCAGTTGCATCTACATCTGCAGAATGTGAAGAACCAGTGGCATCTACATCTGCAGAACGTGAAGAACCAGTGGCATCTACATCTGCAGAACGTGATGAACCAGTGGCATCTACATCTGCAGAACGTGATGAACCAGTGGCATCTACATCTGCAGAACATGAAGAACCAGTGGCATCTACATCTAGAGATTATACAACTTTTAAAGCCATTCCCTGTGTTTAGTGTCCATGCTGTACAACGCCTTGGAATCGACAGGAGTAAAGTTGAACAAATCGACTTACAATTTGTAAGCCGAGGAGTCCTTGTATTATATTCCGTGTTCACGTTTTCTGACACAAGGTACGCTTCCGACTATGAACACACACGCTGCCCGGTGTTACAGGTCATACGCATCCCGATTGTCGGCGATTCACAGGGTTGGCCAATTATTATTTTCTTTTGATTAAACGAATAGGGGTAGAGGGAAGGACGGGTTGGCTCCATACAGTGCGGAAGAAGTTCAACATACATACTGAACAGGGTTGTGAACTGTTCCCTGTCACTTTTATACACAGTCCCCCCTCTAGACTTCCGCTTCAGTGGAGGCCTTTCCGATCAGCCGTGGTGAGTGCAAGCCACTGCGGCAGAGGGGTAGAGGGAAGGACGGGTTGGCTACGTACAGTGCGAAAGAAGTTCAACATGCAGGCATATATTCCACACGGTGTTGCGTAACTTTCTTACACGCCCCTACTGGACGTCTGTAAAAAAAAGAGCTGTATAGCTCATCTGATTCCTCCAGTATAAATGCATATTCTGAAACAGGTCCCCCTCCTCTAGACTTCCTCCTCAGAAGGGAGGCCCCTCCGCCAGCAGTGTTGCCAACGTTTCACACCCCCTGCCCGATTTGCTCACCGCAGGCTGAGCCACAACTGCCTCAAGGATGCTGGGATGATGTTGCTGGCAAAGGGATTGGTTGAGAGTGGAAAACACCTGGAGACTCTGCAGTGAGTTCCTGCCACATGTATCCACCTCATTGCCTCTGCTATACTTGGAACGCCTGCGATGCATAATATTTTAATTTGTCCTTTTTTATGACTCAAAATTAATCTCCATGTGTAATGTGTATCAAAAATATGTGCGTCCTAAGCTCCTGAGAGACACACGGATATATGATGCTTAACACGTAGGCTTTCACCACCAATATTATCCATAATACAGGTTTTTTTGGATTCGATCGTGTAAATATAGCTGTGTCGTTAAACCCGCCACCACCCAACACAAACAATTAGTAAGGTTTGTCACGTAAACAGTACATGCCAATTCTTTTCTAATTCACAACATTTACAATCTGAGTACGACGTCTCGCCAGTAATTACAACTAGCATCATCAGGCGACAGCCAGATTTGTGGAGAAATCCTATTTCATTCTTAAATAGAGGGATAGTTGTGATGTCATCACGGATATAGACATTACCACTATATACTATTTCTTGTTACCTTACCAGGTAAGGCCCACTGAACTACATAGCTCTTTTTTTTATAAACGACCTGGGCCACAAATTATAGCTGCAACAGAGTGGATTATCATCACATGGCCATTTATCACAGCCAAATACTCTCAACGCATGTTTCTCAATGTGGAGGGAAAAACCATAGGACCCGGAGAAAAATCCACACGACCATGGGGAGAAACATGCAAACTCTAAATATACAGGCATCGTCCGGGTATGGATTGAACCCACGACCCCCTATATACCAGGTGAGGTAGTTAACATCTCCTAGCCACCGTGGTACAAAGAAAATTGTTCGAAATCTGAAAAGTGCACAAAAGCACAGAAAAGGGGTGAATGCTTGTAATTATGATGAGAGCCATAAAAACATTACTTATGGCATATTGACTATTGATAAAAGCAAGTGGGCTTGGGTAGGACACTTTGCCAGAGACTAATGTTAACAGTGGAAGCAAGTCCTACAATATTGCCCAATATTACCATTCTCCACAGTCTACTATGCATTGTGCAAACTGATTGGCCTGGGTGGAGTGAACATTCAGTCGGGACTTGACCGCACATTGCTCAGCATGGTAACCGACGTTTCGCTCCGCGTGCTGGTAGCTTATTCAGGAAGTGAAGAAGGGGGAACATCTTCGGGAACTGAACTCCTACGCGGTGGTGCATCCTGAACACACATGGCAGGAGCTGCGCGGCGATTGAACGGTACAAGCGTGTTTTCTCTCTCTCTGCTTTCAGTCTTTGGAATTGCTCCCTCACCCAGAAGTCGGGTTCACATCTCCAAGACATCGTCAAGAGCTGCCCCAACCTCAAGAAGCTTGTGTAAGTTCAATACATAAATAAATAACCGTTCTCTCTATGTATACCTTCATCGATATGTTATGTACACGCGACTCATATTTTTCAATGCAAATGCACGGGCGCTGGTGGCAATGCTGCACCGGGCCGCAATCCAGCACTGCAGAGGTAGTGGGGTTGGTGCATCACACACACGTTTGTGAAACTCCATCCCTACACGTGGGCATCGAGGTCACCACCTCACGGCTTTGCCAGGGTTTGATGGCAGTGACAGCAAGTGGGTTAATATCCATCTGTAAGAGGATTGAGTGTGTTAAGGTAAAGAGGTAACGAGCCCGTTCCTGCTGATGAGACCCAAGCTTTCGCGACTGCAGTGATTCATATTCTTGGTTCTTTCGGTAAAGTCACGTTGAAGGGAAACAATAAAAATAATAAAAATATAAAACAATAAAATTCTCACGACGTTTCGACTGCAACACAAGCAGTCATCATCAGGTGTGAAAACCAATGGCAAATAGGGGTGATGGACTAAAACATGTTTTTTTTCATGCACATGCCGAGACACAGAATGGTGCCGTGCTCTTATGTGCCGCGTACCGCAGGCTTGGTGAGAATGCGATCGAGGACAATGGCGCAAGACAGCTTGCTCGAGCACTACTGGACGAGAGGAATTCTGGGAAGCAAATTCAACTGGAGAAGTTGCAGTGAGTTTTTTTGTTGTGTTACGATTACAACTTTGTTTACTGATGAAAAACCCAACGGAGTCTCAGGACTCTTTCTCAAGAGCGTCCTGCCAAGTTTTTCGCGGTATGGGTGCGATGTTGCTGCTGCTACTGCTGTGTGCGATCCTAAATGGGTAAATTTGCAGGAGACTTTTCAGAATGTTTGACCAATACCAGTTACATTTCGGGGCACGCGATGGCTATGCGTGCCTATGATTCAGCACTGTGGAGGCAGCAGGGGCTGGTGGATCACGCATGCAAATGTTGTGAAACTTCCCTTCCCGTGGGTGTCAAAGTGCTTGTACCCTTGCTTGCCATGAGAATGTGGTACGGTAAAATGTGGACTCCAAATGTTCCATGGGTATGGGCACACGTGGGTGTTCTCCAGGTGCTCCAGCTTCCTCCCACATGTAGACACTCATTGATTAGCTGATAACACCTTGGTAAATAGAGGACTGCAGAGCTTGGGCAATGCACGCCTTCTCATCGCGTGGCTGCCTTCCCGCTTGTCTGCGATTCCTCGCACCTGTGAGTTGTTCCCTCTCTTCGAGAGTGAGCGACTGCTGTGCAGCACGTTACAAGTTGAAATTATTATTACATCACCAGCGTAGAGTGAACTCTCAGTTTATCGACGGGTAAATTGACCAGGCTGCGGTTGTTTGAGCTTGCGTAAGAGATAACATGGTAACAATAGCACTCGTACTATTATTACTAAGCTGCTCCTCAAACCAATAAAAACAGACGTCTCATTCCGTGTCCTCACCCCCGCTGTACATATAAGTAAACACTCAATATGCTTGTAGACCGATTAGCACAGTTGGCTACGTACGGTTGTGAAAGAAGTTCAACTTACATATGCACGGTCCTAATTTGCATACTTTTCACATTGTCTCTGAATTTGATTGAAGGTGAATGACAAGTTTCGTGAACGATTGTTATAACTTTTGTTTGGTCTGTGTTCCCCTTTGTTTAGCATGCAAGGATGCGGTATGACGGAAAAATCTGCGTCTGCCCTTCGTGATATCATCGTTGCCTGCAGCAGACTGAAGGTGCTCCGGTGAGAGTTGTGAGAGAACCAGCCTCACACCACCTGTTGGCTTGCGATTTTCTGAATTCTGATCGTTCAAATGTGTCACATTCACATACCATGTCAACCCATACGGTTTACCCTGTATTTTTGTACGGGGAAATTGAGTTTTCAGGTCCATACGGCTTACAGCCGTTTCAATAAGGGCAAAAAAATGTTTTGCTATTTGTTTGTGTTTCTCCCTTGTGATGAAGGCACTTTGTAGAATGAACATACCAGGCGAGGTAGTTAACATCCCCTAGCCACCGTAATCACAAGCGGGGTCTGGATACACATGAGGTGGTCAGCCGGAATCTGCCCAATCTCATCAGATCTCAGAAGCTAAGAAGGCTTTGAACCTGGATATTAGCTTTGCAAAGGGTGACCACCATCCTCTAACAGGTTGTCATCGCGATTCTAGGGAATACACGATGGTCAGTGCAGTAAAATATATTGTCCTGTACTAAGCTTCCACATCAGTGATCCCCTCCTTTGCCAACCTGCACTGAGAAGCGTGGTGAAGTATGGTCAAATAACCCCACTGAGCAACACAGCATGGGGAGGCCCTCGTCCAGCAATGGATTTAGGGGTGCACGTGTACATGGGGAAAATGTATGGAAAAACTGAGAGTTTTGTATTCTCTGGAGTGTTTGTGTGATCTAATGTGGGGAGCGGTGGTGTAGCGGTTAGCATGGTGCGCTACGAACCCGGCGACCTGGGTTTGATTCTCGCTCATGGCCACCAACACCAGTGACGATTATCTGAATCGGTCCCGGGCCTCCCCTAGGTCGTCACAGCCTAATATGAGCAGCTGGTGCGGTGTGTAAACATCGCCACTGGGGAGACAAAGGCGGTCGAGCGTGGTGCTGGCCACCCACCCCCTGGTGTGCCGTGCCAGCCTTCATAGGTGCTGCTCGCTAACAGCACTTGCCCCAACAGTCTATTAAGGCTATATTTGGGATCTTTGTCTTTGTTTTTGATCTAGGCTAAACGAAAACCGGATCGCAGACACAAGTGTGAATATGATGGCCAAAGCAATGGGTAATGAAAATGAACATCTGGAGGAGTTGGCGTAAGTATACGAGCACACCACTTCAACCTCCGGCGTTGCCGTGGGTCATGTTTTGAAATATTCACGCCTGGGCCGGCCCAGGGCATGCTGGCGAGATGATGTCGCTCAGCTGGCCTGGGAACGCCTGGGAATTCCCCAGGAAGAGCTAGAGTCTGTGTATCGTAATGTATAGTAGTGTAGTGTATAGTAGTGTAGTCTATTGTAGTGTATTGTATAGTAGTGTATTGTATAGTAGTGTAGTGTATAGTAGTGTAGTCTATTGTAGTGTATTGTATAGTAGTGTAGTGTATAGTAGTGTAGTGTATAGTAGTGTAGTGTATAATAGTGTAGTAATGTAGTCAATGGCGGAGCCAGGATTTTTAGGTAGGGGGGGCAACCCCTCCAGCAATGAAAAATGATAGAGGAGTTGTTAGTAAGTAAGGAGTTGTTAGTAAGTAAGGACTTGTTAGTATGTAAGGAGTTGTTAGTAAGTAAAGAGTTGTTAGTAAGTAAGGAGTTGTTAATAAGTAAATAAATTGTTAGTAAGTAAGGAGTTGTTAGTAAGAAAGGAGTTGTTAGTAAGTACTTGTTAAAAAGTAAATAAATTGTTAGTAAGTGAGGAGTTGTTAGTAAGTAAGGAGTTGTTAGTAAGTAAGGAGTTGTTAGTAAGTAAGGAGTTAGTAAGTAAGGACTTGTTAGTAAGGACATGTTAGTAAGTAAGGACTTGTTAGTAAGTAAGGACTTGTTAGTAAGTAAGGACTTGTTAGTAAGTAAGGAGTTGTTAGTAAGTAAGGAGTTGTTAGTAAGGACTTGTTAGTAAGTAAGGAGTTGTTAGTAAGTAAAGAGTTGTTAGTAAGGACTTGTCCCTTGCTTTTTATTCGATGCGTGTGTGGCGATGGCGCTGCCATCGATCGAGGGTCGAATTGGAACCACGTTGTGTGATCGGCATCGCACTCATTGAAGGTGTTGATACCTTCAGGAAAGTCGTGTCCTGTATACGCAACCGCGCACAATTCTGAGTCACTTTTAACTGCTTTGCTGTTACTTATTGCCAATTATGGACTCAGACTATTGTCCTATCATCTCATAGAGTCCTTGGCACGTAATAATATGCTACACAGTGGCAGTGGGGGTCGCAAAATGCCGATTTATTACTAATAACCCCCAATGATCCGATCGAAATTAGGGATTTCGATTGGATCATTGGGGGGGCACGTGCCACCCCAACCTCTCCCACTGGCTCCGCCAGTGAGTGTAGTGTATAGCAGTGTGTAGTAGTACATAGTGTATGAGTGTAGTGCATAGTAGTGTATAGTGTTGTAGTGTAGTAGTGCTAGAGACCCTCACCAGGACAAGTGGATTGAGAAACGAACGCCTTGGATTTTTGGGAGGGGGGGGGGGGGGGAGAGAAAAAAAAACGAGAAATCACGAAAAAAAGTAATGGGATGAGGTGGGGCCAAGTGCCTTGTGAAAAAAATACTATCAATATAAACGGTATACACACAAAAGACTCATGGATTTATACTCTTTGTTTTTTTTCAGTAAAGTCACGTAGGTAAAATAAAATAAATGAAAACAACTAAATTAAATCACGACGTTTCGGAGGCAACACAAGCTTCCGTCTTCAGGTGGAACAGTCACAGCAAAATAGCTGTATCAAGTGAAGAGCTCTGAGACACCCGAGATTATATACAGGTTAGGGGGGGGGAGGAGCCAGGAAGGGACGTGGGTGGGGGGGAGGGCTAAGTTAAGGGGGGGGAGGAGCCAGGAAGGGACGTGGGTGGGGAGGGGCTAAGTTCAGGGGGGGGGAGGAGCCAGGAAGGGACGTGGGTGGGGGGGAGGGCTAAGTTAAGGGGGGGGAGGAGCCAGGAAGGGACGTGGGTGGGGGGGAGGGCTGAGTTAAGGGGGGGGAGGAGCCAGGAAGAGACGTGGGTGGGGAGGGCTAAGTTAAGGGGGGAGGAGCCAGGAAGTGACGTGGGTGGGGAAGGGGAGGGGCTAAGTTAAGCCGCCTTTTGTTATGCTGCAGGGGGTTCGGGGGGAGCGATGGCGCGCTGAAAGCAAGCGAGTACAACCCACTGGCAGAAATGGCAATGGCTGTACAATTATAAGGCAGCTAAAGTTTGACTTGGTTGATGACATCTTTCCAATGGTTGCTCGATTTAAAACCATCCTCTCGGTTGAAGTTGTGTCTATGTTTGCATATCTGGATGGCTTCATGGACAAATCTCTGGTAATAACCGGGAGGTTTGCAAGGTACTTTGGTATCGGAGAAAACAATGTCATGAGAACCCGCTGTGTTGAAACAATGATCAGCCACGGCCGAAGAATTTGTTCTGCCGTGTTTCGAATCTGATTTGTGCTCGCGAATTCGGTCAGAAATATGTCGTTTCGCCTCCCCGATATAGCAGTCACCACAGGTACAACTCAATTTGTAAACACCACCGCTCCCCCCGAACCCCCTGCAGCATAACAAAAGGCGGCTTTACTTAGCCCCTCCCCCTCCCCACCCACGTCCCTTCCTGGCTCCTCCCCCCCCTAACCTGTATATAATCTCGGGTGTCTCAGAGCTCTTCACTTGATACAGCTATTCTGCTGTGACTGTTCCACCTGAAGACGGAAGCTTGTGTTGCATCCGAAACGTCGTGATTTAATTTAGTTGCTTTCATTTATTTTATTTTACCTACGTCACTTTACCGAAAAAACCAAAGACTATGAATCCTTGCAGTCACGAAAGCTTCAAATCTAGAACTCACGGATTTGTCTGTCAACCCCAAGCGTTGTGATTGGATTTATCTTTGTCTGTCACTTCCCAACTTTCCGATTGGCTCGAGACCCACGCGCAATTTGCGAGGGTGCCTGGTTGGCCAGATGCTTCACCAGTAACACAGAACGTTCATCTTTTTAATATATTTTTGGTTTAACATTACAGACGCGCATAGTCACCGCCCGGCTACAAAATATATAGACTCGTACCTGCAAAAAACCCGTCCCGACTCTAGGAATTTGGAATTGCCATCACTGGGGCTGTAGACGGATGAGCATCAAATACCTCAATGCTCACTGAGCAGGATGTCACTTTGACTATTTTGATAACGTTTCACCGATACTGGACTATGTGATATTGTACCAGTTCCATGGACATGGTTTTCTTGTTCTCTTTAGCATTAGGAACTGTTCGCTGACGGACGAGGTGGTTCCTGCTCTCCGTAAAATTGTTATGGGCTCGCCGCGCTTGAAGCTGCTTGGGTAAGTACTGTGGAAAGGCTGCTCTTGTAGAGGTTTTAATAATAATTAGGCATTTGTGCAATTCTTATCACGCCACAAAGGCTATGTGTTTTTTTAAACCAATTTGGGTAATTTATGATTATATATATTTTTTTACTTAGAAAATTTAGTCACGTTGGCACACATGGCATACCCTCTTGTGAATAACCAAAGTTGGAATAGCTGCTGTCCTATATCAGGTGGAGCACCCAATTCCTACATCACTTGTGCTTGATAGAATTCAACACAGAGAAAAGTCTGGTTGGCCATTGACCCAGCACTCGCCGATTCGCTCCAGTGCTCACCAGTGGTCATTATTCCTTATTCTTCTTCTTTCGCTGCCATGGTTACCGTTACCGCGAGCTTCACTCATCGATTCCTCCACCCGTTTCGTTTCGTCCACCACACTGCTGGTCACAACAACAACAACAACAACCGCCATTCGCCACTAAGTGGCGGTGACGTCACCACGACGCTTGTGCCAGGCTATGTGCACCCTGAGGCCACGTGAAGTGTCGAACGCCCGCTGGCAGGAGGTCACGGGGCAGACCCAGGTGCCACGGGTCGACTGACTGAGATGACTGGCTGATGCACCACCTGTGCCCCCTACTGTGCCAACCTGCTGTGCTTTAGCCACCCGGCGCTCCGCTCGCTGTTGTGAGCGTCGCTCCTCCGCCCTCCGTTGTTGTTGGAGGGCGACTGCCTCCAACTGCCCAGTAGCATCCTTCACGAGCCTCCTCCACAGAGGCCGATCTTGACACCGCTGGTACCAGTCATCGGCAAGTCCACTCAGCTCCACGTCCTCCTGTACCACATCACTCCATCTCTTCTCTAGCCCGTGCCGCGCCCGCTTAGCCCCCTCAATCCGGCCAAACAAAAGCTGTTTCGGCATGCGGTGGCTGGGCATGCGGGCTACATGACCCAGCCATCGCAGCCTTGCCTGCCGGAGGAGCTCACCGATGGGACCCTGCCCAGATCTTTCAAGGATTTGTGAGCTCCTCACACAATCCAGTCTGGTTAAACCCAGGATGGATCGTAGGCAGGTCAGCCTAAATGTTTCTAACCGGCGAAGATGTTCCATTAGGGGGGTCCACGTTTCGCAAGCGTAGAGAAGGGAGGGAATGACCGTGGCCGAGAAGACCTGAAGCTTAGTGCGGAGCGACAGACCAGGTAGCTTCCACACAGCGTTACGCAACCGATGAAAAGATATTGCCGCTCGACTGATTCGGAGTGAGACCTCTGCTGTTAAACTGGAGCCAGTCATAAGCACACTGCCCAGGTATGGGAAACTCTCCACTCTCTCCACAACTGCCCCATCACCGATTGGGAGTTGTGGGGGTGGAGTGTCCGATGGTACAAAATACCCAGGCAGGTGCTTAGTTTTGGTGGGGCTGATGGTAAGGCCCCACCTCTTAGTGGCACGCTCCAGTCTCAGCAGCAGCGTCTCCAACTCCTCCTCTGACTGAGCAGCTATTACCAAGTCATCAGCATACATAACGTGGTTGAGCAATAGGGAGCCATCCCTTGACCGCACCCGGGCATCGATTAGCCTCCCATTATATCTGTACCATATGGAGATTCCCCCGGTACAGCTATTGAAGGCTTCACGAACTACGTGGTCAAAATAGATGTTAAATAATGTGGGAGCCAGAGGACATCCCTGTCGCACCCCAAGGTGTACAGGGAATGGCTCTGACTCCCGGCCACGTAGTTTTACCCGGGCCCGCTCACCATCATGAAGGTCCTTAATGATCGTGAGCAGAGGGTCAGGTACTCCAAAAGCACGAAGAACGACCCAGAGCCCAGGCCTACTGATGGTATCATAGGCCTTGACCAGGTCAATAAAGCAGAGATGTAGGTCTTGTTGGAATTCCCTACACCTCTGCTGTAGCAGACGGACAGAAAATATGGCATCTGTGCAGGACCGCCCTTTCCTGAAACCGCATTGGGGCTCCGCAAGCCTCTCCTCAGCGTGCCTGGCAAGGCGATGCTGAATAATCCTTGCCAGGACCTTTCCTGGCACACTGAGGAGTGAGATGCCCCTGTAGTTGTTACAGTCTGTGCGGTCTCCCTTCTTAAAAAGGGGGACCACCAGGGCATCCTTCCAATCCTGCGGAACCCGTCCAGTGGTCCAGATTGTTGTTATGATGTCATATAGGGCAGTCTGTGCACAAACGCCACCCTCCCTCAGCATTTCGCTTGGGAGATCATCTCTGCCCGCTGCCTTTCCTGGTCTCAGACTCCGGATCGCCGTCAATACTTCCTCAGCAGATGGCACCTCAGCCAGCCACTCACAGGGGGTGACTTCATCCAATATTTGAGGCACCGCAGCCTCAGCAGGGTCATCCTCACTTTGTGCCACGATGTTTTCCTGGCTGTGGGATTTTCCCTCCCCCAGGACCTCACAGAAATGCTCAGCAAATCTGCGAACCTGTTCCTGGGGGTCGGAAATTGGATCACCGTTTTTTCCCCTAATGATGGTAATAGGTGTGGCGCTGCAGGTTACTTTTTTGATGGAGTTAAATAGCGATTTGTGATCACGGGCCACTGAGGCAGACTCCATCTCCTCAGCAACCCGCGACCACCACCCATCCTTGCAGCGCCTCACGGCTCTCCGAACCTCCGAGCGAAGGCTGCGGTAAGCCTCCTCATTCTCTGACGTGGGATTCTGTAGCCGATGACAGTGGGCCTGTCGCTTTTTCTCAACCATCCTGAACAACTCCTCTGTCATCCAGGGTGTCTGGGGAGGTCTGGACCGCGTACCCAAAGCAGCCATTGCAGCTGCATGAGTCACAGTCCTAAACCTCGCCCATTTACCCTCGACATCAGGAGGAGTCGGGGACGATGCCAATCCCAGCTGCAAGCGATGATGAAATTCTCGCTTGCAACTTTCATCAGATAACTGAGACCAGGCCACTTTAGGTTGGAATGGGGTCCTGGGTGTACACCCACCACCGGAGTGGAAGAATGGCAGGCGCATCTTACAGATGACTAGTCGATGGTCAGAGGGCAGATCAGCTCCACGGTAGGTCCTGGTGTCAAGGACATGGGCTCGCATTCGCTGGTCCGTCACTATGTAGTCCAGCAGATGTTCTTGCTTGGACCCGGCATGCATCCATGATGTTGTGTGGATGCGCCGATGCCGGAACAGCGTGTTGGTAATTACAAGCCCATGGGCTGCACAAAAATCTAGCAGCCTCCTACCGTTGTTATTGAGCTGATCTGGCCCATGCCCTCCAATCACTCCAGACCAGGTGCCAGTATCATGACCAACTCGGGCATTGAAGTCACCCAACATGATGACTCTATCCCGAGGGGCCACTTTAGCCAGCACCTGTGACAGGAGGTCATAGAAGGCATCTGACTCATCGGCTTTGCCTGCATCCCTCCACGGATGTTCATCTTCGGTGGGGGCATAAGTAACCACGACCACCATTCCTCGCCTCCGGTTGATGGGAAGGCGAGCCCAAAGTAGCCTGGGGCTTACAGCTTCCCACACCTCACCGCCACGCTCCCACGCCCCCTTCATTCTTTTGTTCAAAAGAAGACCCACACCCCGTTGTTTGGCAGTCTGCTGCCCCGAGTAGAGGACTGTCCACCCCTCATGGTGGCAGGAGCCAGAGCCGGTCCACCGGACCTCCTGAATGCCGCATAGATCCAGGCGGTACCGGTCCAGCTCCCGACAGAGGAGTGGCAGCCTCTCCTCTGCAGTGAGCGTTCGAACATTCCACGTGGCCACCCGTAGTGGCTTTTCGTTGTTTCTGGAGTAGCCCCGAGGGTAGGTATTCAATCTCCTGGCTCCGCCAATTGGGGTTTGGTCAGGAGACGTCATAGACGCCTGGCCCCCCGGGGCCTCCGGCACAAGCTTAGTTGTTACATATTTCACTTTAATTCGTGGTTTTGTGGTAATTAATTGAAGGTGGAGGGGTTACCAGCCCCTCGCACCCGTCCAGAGCCCCCGTTTAGCCCCTGTGGTGGACACATATGCCATGACGGGAGGAGCCAATCAAAATTGGAACTCCCCCCACAGCACTGTCCACGACAGAGTTGCCCGTCCGGCACCGCGAGGAGGTAGGGGGTTGTTTTGCCGGTCACAACAATTCACTCACTCACCTACGTATCCACTCACCTGCTCACTCACCCACCTGCTCATCCACTCACCCACTCATCCACTCACCTAATCATCCACTCATCCACTCACCTACTCATCCACTCACCCACTCATCTACTCACCCACTCATCCACTCACTCACTCACTCACCCACTCACCCACTCATCCACTCACCCACTCATCCACTCACCCATTCATCTACTCACCCCACTCACCCACTCATCCACTCATCCACTCACCCACTCATCCACTCACCTACTCACCCACTCATCCACTTACCCACTTATCCACTCACCCACTCACCCACTCATCCACTCACCCACTCATCTACTCATCCACTCACCCACTCATCCACTCATCTACTCACCCACTCATCCACTCACCCACTCATCTACTCACCCACCCATCCACTCACCCACTCATCTACTCAACCACTCATCCACTCATCCACTCACCCACTCACCTACTCATCCACTCACCTACTCACCTACTTATCCACTCACCCACTCATCCACTCATCCACTCACCCACTCACCTACTCATCCACTCATCTACTCACCTACTCATCCACTCATCCACTCACCTACTCATCCACTCACCTACTCATCCATTCATCCACTCATCCACTCACCTACTCACCCACTCATCCACTCACCCACTCACCTACTCATCCACTCACCTACTCATCCACTCACCCATTCATCCACTCACCTACTCATCCACTCACCTACTCACCCACTCATCCACTCACCCACTCATCCACTCACCCAATCATCCACTCACCTACTCATCCACTCGCCCACTCATCCACTCACCCACTCACCCACTCATCCACTCACCCACTCATCCACTCACCCACTCACCTACTCATCCACTCATCCACTCACCCACTCACCCACTCATCCACTCACCCACTCATCCACTCACCCACTCATCCACTCACCTACTCATCCACTCACCCACTCATCCACTCACCCACTCATCCACTCACCCACTCATCCACTCACCTACTCATCCACTCACCCACTCAACCACTCACCCACTCACCCACTCATCCACTCACCCACTCACCCACTCATCCACTCATCCACTCACCCACTCATGCACTCATCTACTCACCTACTCATCCACTCATCCACTCACCCACTCATCCACTCATCTACTTATCCACTCACCTACTCATCCACTCACCCACTCATCTACTCACCTACTCATCCACTCACCCACTCATCCACTCACCCACTCATCCACTCATCTACTCACCTACTCATCCACTCACCCACTCACCCACTCATCTACTCACCCACTCACCCACTCATCCACTAACCCACTCATCTACTCATCCACTCACCCACTCATCCACTCATCTACTCACCCACTCATCCACTCACCCACTCATCTACTCACCCACTCATCCACTCACCCACTCATCCACTCATCTACTCATCCACTCACCTACTCATCCACTCACCCACTCACCTACTCATCCACTCATCTACTCACCTACTCATCCACTCATACACTCACCCACTCACCTACTCATCCACTCACCCACTCATCTACTCACCCACTCACCCACTCATCCACTAACCCACTCATCTACTCATCCACTCACCCACTCATCCACTCATCTACTCACCCACTCATCCACTCACCCACTCATCTACTCACCCACTCATCCACTCACCCACTCATCCACTCATCTACTCATCCACTCACCTACTCATCCACTCACCCACTCACCTACTCATCCACTCATCTACTCACCTACTCATCCACTCATACACTCACCCACTCACCTACTCATCCACTCATCCACTCACCCACTCACCTACTCATCCACTCACCTACTCATCTACTCATCCATTCACCCACTCACCTACTCATCCACTCACCCACTCATCCACTCATCTACTCACCCACTCATCCACTCACCCACTCATCCACTAATCCACTCATCCACTCACCCACTCATCCACTCACCTACTCATCCACTCGCCCACTCATCCACTCATCCACTCACCCACTCACCTACTCATCCACTCATCCACTCACCCACTCACCCACTCATCCACTCACCCACTCACCCACTCATCCACTCATCCACTCACCCACTCATCCACTCACCTACTCATCCACTCACCCTCTCATCCACTCATCCACTCACCCACTCATCCACTCATCTACTCAACCACTCACCCACTCATCCACTCACCCACTCATGCACTCATCTACTCACCTACTCATCCACTCATCCACTCACCCACTCATCCACTCATCTACTCATCCACTCACCTACTCATCCACTCACCCACTCATCTACTCACCTACTCATTCACTCACCCACTCATCCACTCACCCACTCATCCACTCGTCTACTCACCTACTCATCCACTCACCCACTGACCCACTCATCTACTCACCCACTCACCCACTCATCCACTCACCCACTCATCTACTCATCCACTCATCCACTCATCTACTCACCCACTCATCCACTCACCCACTCATCTACTCACCCACTCATCCACTCACCCACTCATCTACTCACCCACTCATCTACTCATCCACTCACCCACTCACCTACTCATCCACTCACCTACTCACCGATTCATCCACTCATCCACTCATCCACTCACCCACTCACCTACTCATCCACTCACCCACTCATCCACTCACCCACTCACCTACTCATCCGCTCACCTACTCATCTACTCATCCACTCACCCACTCATCCACTCACCCACTCACCCACTCATCCACTCATCCACTCACCTACTCATCCACTTATCCACTCACCCACTCACCCAATCACCTACTCACCTACTCATCCACTCACCCACTCACCCACTCATCCACTCACCTACTCACCCACTCATCTACTCACCCACTCATCCACTCACCTACTCATCCACTCACCTACTCACCCACTTACCTACTCACCCACACACCTACTCACCTACTCACCCACTCACCCACTCACCTACTCACCCACTCACCTACTCACCCACTCACCTACTCACCCACTCCATCGTGCTTCTTTCCTCACTTTACTCGACTTTGGAATTATAACCTGGCTTAATTCAAATAAACGTGTTAACTCATATCTATTATAACTTTAATGGTGCTGTTTGTTGCTGGCTGCTTGACGTTTTGGGTCCCAGCAAATGTATAAAAAAACACAAGGGAAAATACTTCACTGTACTTTCGAAGGAAGAAAATGTTCTCAATATTAAGAACACATCCCTGCGTGTGAAAATGTGGGTTTTGTGAATATCTATAGAAAAATAACAATTATACCACCGTGCAGAAACACTGCAGTCGGTGTGAGCGGTTAATTGGTCAGGGCGGATGTGTGACGGTCGGCTGTGTTACGCTGCGCCGTGCAGTTTTTGTTCACCTCACGCTCAAGGAGCACGGCCGCACGTTTAAGCGTGCTTTGGTCTCGTTTTTGTCCCATCTTTCTGCCGATTATTTAAATACGGACGCCGTCCCCGTGTCCCGCAGAGTGAGTGTCAATTCGTTCACCGACGCGACGACGAGCGAAGTGGACTCCCTTGGCGAGCTGCGACCGGGGCTGCAGGTCATCGTGTGAAACACAAGGAGCCACTTGAGCGGTGGTTTGTATGCCAGAGACTCCTCCTGTTGGTCTCAGCCTGCTGCGCTGAACGATGTTCTCTTTTAAAATGCACACTAGTTTTGGCACCGCAAGACACCCCTCACCTGCACGTATGAGACCACCATCCCTCACACCGCTCCAATTCTCAGATCCCTCCACAGGACAAACAACAACAACAGCCATGGATGAACTACAGATTCGCTCTCAGCGTCTTCAAGATCCATGGACTCGGCACCCCTTGCCTACCTTCCCCCTCTGTCCTCTCATCTCACTCTGCTCCTCTTCATGCACTCTCCTACCTCTTCTCATTTCACCTCACCATGTGCTCCACTCTCATCTCGCTCTGCTTCCCTTCAACTTAACGGCGAGCTTAAATAATAGTCTCGTTAAAGAGTTGTCAATGTGACAATTTTATTTCATTGACTGTGTCGGGTGGTGGAGGGTTATACGACAAAAACAATTGGCCAAATCATTAGGTGGCTAAAACCAAAAATAAATTATGATGAAAGTGATGTAAAGACTTCTATTGACGGACACAATACATGTGTAGGGACTGATTCGGAGACACTAAGAGTAGGAGGCACTCTGTTTATTAACACGGCCTGACAGTAACACTTAGCGACTGCTCCCAGTCAGGACAGCTGGCAGACTGCTTGACTGGCGACGCCGAGATGGTGAAGACGGCGCCGACGCTGAAGACTCCGGCAGCACGATGGGGATCCCGCTCCACACGACAGCCCCGAGGTCCCCTCCCGGGGCCCCTCTTATACTGCCAACGTGGCCTGGCTCCGCCCCCGGCCACGCCCCCTTCCGGAACCTACCCGCGGGTTCCGCGGGTTCTCGATGGGCCCCTTCCGTAACCTTTCCCCTAGGTCCTCCTCTGGTCTACCACGTGGCCTGCTCTCGGTCAGGGCTGCTGTAAGCTGCAGATTCCCTTCCCTGCCAGCAGCCAGCGCTATGTTGCTATGTGACCGACTCTATGTCACTACACAGGGACTCATCTACTTACGAACACTCGACTTATGAACTTTCAGAGATACGAACAAACCTGGTCCGTTTGTCCAGTTGCCTGTTCGGACCGAGAGTCGTAAGTTTAACCGCCGTGCAATAGATGGTGGTGGTGGCCTCTACATCTGCAGAACGTGAAGAACCAGTGGCATCTACATCTACAGGAGATTATACAACTTTTAAAGCCATTCCCTGTGTTTATTGTACATGTCGTACAACATGTTTGGAATCGACAGGAATAAAGTTGGATTTACGAACAAATCAAATTATGAACAGACCTCTGGTACCTAACTCGTTCCTAGGTAGTGGAGTCCCTGTAATGTTGCTAAGATCTGGACATGTCCTAGGATCAAGGGTAGAGCGGGTATCTTATTATTTAAGTGATTGATTAGCAATTAATGATCGGTTCCATTATTCTACTAATCAGGTCATGCAGCCCCATCCGACATTCGGGGCTATTTCCGCCAACGGCTCAGTCGCCTTCTCATTGGGAACGAGTTGCTTGTTTCACCGCAGAGCAATTGAGGAATGTGATTGCAGAACAAGGATTTAGCCCACGCGTCAATGATTGTGTAATCGAAACTGTGAAATTTGATGTATCCGGTGTGTATATATAATAATTATGTATTCAAATTGACTTTTTTTTTATTGTTGGTGCTTTTTTAATGTGTTTTTGGGATTATTTTTACACGTGTGTGGTTTCAATGTCAACACATTTTTTAACCTACCATACAAAAACATGATTATGATAAAAACAAAACATTTTTGAGTTTTGGATCAGTATTTTAGTGAAGATTTTTTGTTGCAGCCATCTCAGGATAATCTCTTGACATCACTTGGCAAAGCTCAGAGTCATCAATTTAAATGAAACGAGATGCTTTGAGATCCTACGAATCGTCGGTTGGAATACCATTAAATTCATTTAAAAATCTGGATATGTGGATATATCCACATTTTACATTTTGGACATTCTGCCTGTCACAGTGGTATGTAATTGTTGGCATGTAACGGGACTTGCAGTCTAGAGGTCACTGGCTCGATTTTACCTCCCAGGGCAGCAGTTGAAACAATGTGGGGGGAAAGTTTATTCATTCCCAACCCACTGCCCCGTCCACCCAAGCAGTACAAATGTGTGAACCACATTTAAACGACCGTTAGGTCACACGCGCTGGGGTAAAGTGTGGGTACTCTCACCTCTTCTCAAGATGTTTGGCCAGCGTGACCTCTAGAGCAGGTGGCCCTCTTAGAAGGTGGCCCTCTTAGCGGGTGGCCGTCTTAGCGGGTGGCCCTCTTAGCGGGTGGCCGTCTTAGCAGGTGGCCGTCTTAGCGGGTGGCCCTCTTAGCAGGTGGCCGTCTTAGCAGGTGGCCGTCTTAGCGGGTGGCCCTCTCAGCAGGCGGCCCTCTTAGCGGGTGGCCCTCTTAGAAGGTGGCCGTCTTAGCGGGTGGCCCTCTCAGCAGGTGGCCGTCTTAGCAGGTGGCCCTCTTAGCGGGTGGCCCTCTCAGCAGGTGGCCGTCTTAGCGGGTGGCCCTCTCGAGCGCCCTCTGAAGAAGTCTTGCCAAGTGACGTGAATCAAACAATTGCATGGCTGCACCGAGGGCTTTTTACAGACTTATTATTATTACACACTTTTATTATTATTACACACTTTTATTATTATTGCACACTTTTATTATTATTACACACTTTTATTATTATTACACTTTTATAATTATTACACACTTTTATTATTATTACACACTTTTATTATTATTACACACTTTTATTATTGCACTTGCCGTGTTGTCTATTTATATTCTTTGGAATCTTTGACACTTAATATCTTCGGATCTACGAAGCCTAAAAACCTGAAATATTCTACACAGACTCGTCTCGCGTGACAATTCAAAATTTATTTAAAAACAACCGGTCCAGGTTCCGCCAATCCTGGGCCTATTCGTATCTTTGACTTAATTTTAATAGTAAATAATCGTGATTTTTCAAGTTACGAGGGCAAAACGTCTCGTCCAATCAGAGCGGCTGTTGTTGGGGAGCCTCTGACCAATGAGAGGCGCGCCCTGACATAATCGCTCGTCATGGCGCCTGAGCGGCCGCTGTAGTACCCTCTTGACGCGAGACCAACGCTAATTATAATTACTACCACTACTACTGTAGCTAAAATAATTATGCAGTTATAATATTAATAAGTTTGCACTAATGTTCGCTTTGCCATTTCCGTTTCGACACGCGCTAAGGGCAACATGGTTACGGTGAAGTTGAGCGAGCAGGTGAGAACTGTGATCGTGTTTTTACAATTAAATGCCTTGATGTTATCCCTTATTCTGATTGACAATTAATTATGATTGTTGATGTAAATGCCTTGAAGCGAAAGTGCTAAATCTGTGCACATTGAATACGGCCTCGTAATATGTGCATATTGGTATATCATTTCAGACTATATGTCTTTTCCGTCTTTCATACAGTACAGTACTTTATGATCGCAAATACGACAATTAAACGCGCTATACGTCTCGTGTTGTAAATGTTATTTTACGACTTTGCAGTCAGCATGATCGTTATTGTAATAGCCGTGATACGTGCTATCAACATTTCGTAGCAATGCACATGCTTTCATTTATTGAATGTACAGGGGTTGACATAGGCAAAGCCATCATTGTTATCTCTACAAGGTCATTTAAAAAAGGTGAAAAAGATCCATACTCTTTGGTTCTATTCGGTAAAGTCACGTAGGTAAAAAAGTAAAACAACAAAAATCACGACGTTTCGGCCACAACACAAGCGGCCTTCATCAGGTGAAGGGACCAGACTGTCTCGCCGCTTGTGTTGTGGCTGAAACGTCGTGATTTTTGTTGTTTTATTTTTTTACCTACGTGACTTTACCGAATAGAACCAAAGAGTATGGATCCTTGCAGTCACGAAAGCTTCAAATCTAGAAGTGAAAAAGATTTTCAGTGCACGCACTTTTATTTCCACCCTATAGTACAAAATATATTATTTTGACCCCCGAATTTATCACATTCGATGCGCAGAATAAATGGTGACTTAAATAAAGACAAACATATCGGCACATCAAATGGGATTAAATCTGGGGTAAACTTATGTATTTTACTTACAACGATTGTCTGTCTTAAACACCCCGGAGATGTTTCTCAGTAGGAGGGGGGTCCAGCACGGATACGGACCAGTGGTCACCAACATCAATGAGTGTCCCACCCAGCATCCAATGTATTGAAGAGGGCCATTGGAAAACAACCAAACGTCCTGGGGATAGCCAGGACAATCGTGGTTTGTTGGGTGTGCAGTAGTATACATGGTGTGTGTAGTGGTGTACATGGGGTGTGTGTATAAGGTTACATGGTGTGCGTTTTGGGGTACATGGGGTATTCTATAGTGTATATGGGCTTTATAGTACAGCAGTGTACATGGTGTGTGTGTAGTAGTGTACATGGGGTGTATTAGGGTACACGGGGTGTGTATTAGTGTACACGGGGTGTGTAATATTGTATATGGGGTCGTAGTACAGGAGTGTACATGGGGTTTGTAGTAGTATACATGGTGTGTGTAGTAGTGTACATAGTGAGCGTGTATACGCATGGGTGTGGAGTATCGCATGTTGCATATGGTAGAAAAGAAACATGCAAGTGACACACAAAGTGTGCTCAGCAAAGTTCAATAATTAATATATTAATTAATTCAAGACAAGGCACAGTGCACATGTGGGAATGCAACCCAAACTTATGGACAATACAGTAAACCCATAGAGACACAGAGATACATAGCGACTCTTTAAAATAAATGATAAATTAAGTGTAACACGAATTCGGCTTTCACGACTAATGTTATGCATAATAGCCATTTCTTTGGGATTGATCGCGTAAATATAAATGTGTCGTTAAACCCGCCACCACCCGACACAGCCAATTAGTAAAGTTTGTCACGTAAACAAAACGTGCCAATTCGTTACTAGTTCAACACTAACCGGTTGTGTGTTGGGAGGGTAAACCTACAACAATTACAATTCACGTACCATGACATTTCGCCGGTAATTACAACCAGCATCATCAGGCGACAGCCAGAATTGTGGAGAAATCCTCCTGCTTTTAATACCGAAATAAGAGGAGTTCTGTTTAAAAAAAAATTACAGCACCTTCAGAATCCTTACTGGGAGGAGAGAAGGCAGCCGTGCTGACGTCACAGCTCACGGGCGTCGATGGGCACGCACGGAGTTTATATTCATTTATTCAGAGTAAACTTTGCTCACCTTACATACACTGTACCGTGCTGTGCACTCCCATCGTTGTGTTTATGTTCTATTGTTTGTTATTGTTGTAACTTACTGACACGCCACCTTAACGGACACCTGTGTGAAAAAATGTCATCATAGGTCAACGGATTCTTCCAGGATAAATCACTTCTCATTCAGAAATTAGCCTGCGAGTCCCGGCTTTATTGACGGTCTGCTTCGTTTCGGAAGTGCCGTGCGTGGGTGTAGCTGAGAGCCCGTCTTAGCCCCCCAGAGGAGCGGCGGCACAGTGGTTAGCGCACTGTGCTACGAACCCGGCACATACCCGAATTCGATTCTTGTTCCCAGCCAATGACAATGGGCAGCGAAATACCTGAACCTGTCCTGGCCGTCCCTCCCCGAAGTAGATCCGGCCTTCCCAAATGAGTACCGTTCCTGGTGCTTTTTGTGCAAACATCACCACATGGGGAGACAAAGGTGGCCAGGCGTGGTACTGGTCACCCACTCCCTGTCGTGTTCTATATCGGTCTTCGTAGGTGCTACTCCCTAACAGGACTTGCCTCAACAGTCTGTCAAGGCTACACGGGGGATCTTTGTCTTTAAGCGTGTGTGAGTGGTGTGCGGAGCAGTGTGCAGCACTTTGTCACGTGTCCGCAACTGCATCACCACTTGCAATTCTCCGGCTTTTCTCTTTTTAAATTAAGTTCCTTCCCACCATCATTGTGACGCAGCTATCGTGGTTATCCTGCTCGGGAGTGGTGGAAGTCCAAAACGGAATCGGACACAGGGAGGCAGGGGTCAGAGAGAGATGGGGAAGATTGGGAACGAAGGGGATAAGTTCCCCAGCTCTTGTACCATGCCTGATCACCCGGGTATACTGGAGGAGTCGCAGGCAACGTTATGGTGGGGGGGGGGGGGGGCACTTGGATGAAATGATAAGAGCCTCCCCCATCTCTCCGTGAAGGTTGCTCAATCATTCGACAGTGGCGCCACCTTCAGGGTGACCGGCGACAGCAGCCCTGCAGCACACAGCCCAGCCCTGCAGCACACTGCCCAGCCTTGCAGCACACTGCCCAGCCCTGCAGCACACTGCCCAGCCCTGCAGCACACTGCCCAGCCCTGCAGCACACTGCCCAGCCCTGCAGCGCACAGCCCAGCCCTGCAGCACACAGTCTACAGCACACAGTCTGCAGCACACAGACCACAGCCCAGCCCTGCAGCACACAGTCTACAGCACACTGCCCAGCCCTGCAGCACACTGCCCAGCCCTGCAGCACACTGCCCAGCCCTGCGGCACACTGCCCAGCCCTGCAGCACACAGTCTACAGCACACAGTCTGCAGCACACAGACCACAGCCCAGCCCTGCAGCACACAGTCTGCAGCACACAATCTGCAGCACACATGCAATGTGTGTGCTGGACACTCGGTGGGTGGTGGTGGGGGGGACGGAAGGAGGAGCCACGACTCGGCCTGCGCTTCTCTCCGATTCATGCAGACGCGTGGAGACCGCGACTCTCAGAGACGGCAAGGATGAGAGACGGGAGAGATTAGAGTTAAGAGAGATGAGAGACGAGATGGGAGAGACGAGATGGGAGAGATGAGAGAGACGAGATGGGAGAGATTAGAGTTGAGAGATGAGAGAGATGAGATGGGAGGGATGGGAGAGATTAGAGATGACAGAGACGAGAGAGATGAGATAGATGGGAGAGACGGCAGAGACGAGAGGGATGAGAGAAGGGAGAGACGGGATGGGAGGGATGAGAGAGAGATGAGAGATAGAGACACGTGAGACTGTTTTTTCCACGTTTCACAAGGAGACAAAATAAATACCAGTAATCCTTCCACCTAGCGATTGAACTGATTTGTAAAACATTTTACACATTCTGCGTCATACACAGGGCCTTGGGATGCAGAGTTAAAAGTTTGAGGGCAACAAAAATGCGGAGAGACAGAAGCTTATGTTTTCATATTCTCCACAATGATGCCAATGATTATCTTGTGAAGAGCTTCTGAGTGCATTCATCTTTATTCGTACTGGAAGTACAGCAGAGCACAACAACCATACACTAACACTGTAAGAAGATATACTTGCAATACAAAGTTATACAAGGACGTTAATATCGTCATAATCATAACGTTAACATTAATACTGTACCTTGTATTGTAAAAGATTATATCGTGGCCAATTACATACAAGCGACATTGTCTGTATGTCTTTTGAGCGATGGGAGGAATCCAGCGAAGACAGAGGGAAACATAAAAACTCCGCACAGAAAGTCAGGAATCGAACTCAGGCACTTCTTGCTGTGAGGTTCGAACGTTACCACCGAGTCGCCCTCCCGCCCTTCTGGCAAGCAGAATGTGATCCGTGCATTGTCCTTGACATATACCCTTTGGTTAAAAAAAGGCACGCATTATATATGAGCGTATAATTTGTTACGAACACACGAGGGGGGGGGATAAAAATAGCTTTTCTCAAGCAAAAAAAGCTACGCTCACTCTCTTACAAAAGTTTGTCAAAAAAGTAAAAATCACCAAATAAATGCCCTTGCCTATCTGGAAAATGATTCACATCCCGCAGCCCAGTCACCGTAATGTTCCACAACCCACCTGATCATTAATTCCATCTACCCGGAGGTTTACTTTTAATTGCCCAGCGCACACGTGCCAGGGTCGCCGGTAGATTGCAATACGTTCCACGTGACTAGTCGCCACGAACCTTTCGCGAGAGTTTATACAGCACTGGGTATGGTTGCGCTGGGTGCGTAAGTCTCTTCTCGGCCATCAAATTGGACAAAACCAGGAGAGGAGAGAAATAAAACAAGAATCAGCCGCAGCCTTAATGCTCCTACTCCATGTGTGAACCAGCCTGCACTAGCGGGTGCCAGGGGGTGGGCCCTGCACCATCAAATGTCCCCTTTCACCCACGCAGGCCAACTCTCCTTCGTGGTAGATCACTGTTACAGTGCCCCCCCCCCCCCCCCCGCACACATACACACAACCAGCTCGACTGGCCCCCTCGTCCAAGAGGAGCTGGAGCTTGCCCTGGGTCCACACACATTCAGCAGCAGTCCTCCACTGGCTGATCGTCATCGTTTCCACGCTCCTGCTGCTGTCTCCCAGTCCTTCCCGTCTCTTCCAACCACCATCCGCCTCAATCACCTTCCGCGAGCGTTACCATTCGCATTTTTTGTCTGGATTCCGCTCTGGTGGCACCCTCCTGACAAGACCGTACTGCAGCAGTCTGAGTTCAGGGGGACGCTGCATTACCCCCACTACTGTTGGCTGCACATCCCCCTGGCCTTCTTGCTCTTCTTTGCCTTGCCCGGTTTTGCAACCTCCACCTCCTTCTCCTCGTGTCGCTCAGCAATGGTTACCGGCGGAGCGGCCGGTTCCAGCACGGAACAGCGGACCACGGCCTGCCCCTCGCGGATGGACACCTGCACCAGCTTCCCCGGCTCCCGTCCCACCGCGTCCACCTCGCCCCTCCGCTGGTCCCCTCCGGCTGTCGGCGCTAACGGCGCCCGACCTTTGCCGTGCTGCACCCCCTTTTCCGGCCGCTTCTTCTGCCGCATCGGCACGGCCGGCGCTTGTCGTCGTCGTTGTGGTGGTGCCGCCGCCGCCGCAACCGTTCCTCCTGGAGGAGGAGGTGTCCGATGAGCTTCCGTCTCGACCATGTTGGACGGGACCGCGACGAGCACGGCCTGGAGAATCTGGGGCAGCTCCGACGTTCTTGCCATCGCCGTCGTCACGGGCGCATTGACCGACTGCGTCGGTGCGGTTTCCATGGGTTCGGCACCGATGGTGAGCCCCTCCGCTCGCCGGATGTTTGACCATTTTCCATCTGCGTCGTCCGGCGGGAGAGCATCGCTCCGCTCGCCCCCGCCGCTGCCGTCGGCGGCGGCGGTGGCCACCGGTGCCGCCACCACGGCCTCCGCACGCTGCCTGAAGGCGGGCGGAATAGAGATGGGCTTGGGTAGAGCGACGTCAACTCCGCCCTCTGCGGCTGACACTGTCGATTTTATCTCGGGGAGCCGTCGCGACTCCGTCGCCGTCTCCGCTTCGGGGCCGGCCTCCGGGTGTTCCGCCGTCCCTCCCCGTATCGTGGCAGCGGTGTCCAGATGATCCAAGAGGCTCTGCGTGGTGACCAATGGGCGCTCGCTCTCCTGCTCTGTTGAAGCCGGTGTTCTTGTCCCCTCACCAACATTCTCCGCCAACTTTTTCTTCTTCTCCTGCTTTTCATCCTCCTCCTCTTCCTCCTCCTCCAGACTCTCCTCCTCGTACTTCTCAACAACCTTCTGCTCGTACCTCGAGACCATTGCCTTTACCTCCACGCTTGAGTCGCTCGCCTCCTGCGCCGCTGAGGGTTCGCGGTCGTCCGCCCGGCACCTGCTCAGGTCAACCCTGATGAGCGGTTTGTCCCCGGGGCTGGGCGCAAACTTCAGGAACAGCTCGAAGGCTTCATCCTCGACGGCTTCATACAAACGGACGTAATCCTGCAAGCGTGCGCGGGAACACGGATGCGACACCACAAACCCATTTGCGAAAAATTTTGACTCGCATAGAGATTCGTAGAGCTGCAGACACTTACATAGAGGCGCATAGATTCATACACAGACACACTGACTCAGAGAAACACAGTCTCACATAGAGACCCGTAGATGTACATAGAGACCCATACACTAACAGAGAGACCAATAGACTTGCACAAAAAACTAATAGGTCACATAGATATTCTTGGTTCTTTCGGTAAAGTCACGTAGATAGGTTCAAAGAAAATAACAAAAAACTACGACGTTTCGATCGCAACACAAGCGGTCGTCTTCAGAAAAAGGGGGATTAGCTTTCAAGGCAAACTGTCTTTGAACCTACCTACGTGACTTTAACGAAATAACCAAGATGATAAATTCCTGCACTCACGTCAAGAGGTCACATAGAGGCCCATAGACCTACACATAGCTCCATAGACCTACACATAGCCCCATAGACCTACACAGAGACCCATCGACCGACACAGAGACCCCATAGACATATGCAGACCCGTAGACCTACACAGAGACCCATCGACCTACACAGAACCCTGATAGACCTATGCAGAGCCCTCATAGACCTATGTAGAGACCCGTAGACCTACACAGAGACCCATAGACCTAAATAGAGCCCCCATAGGTCTACGCAGAGACCCATAGACCTACACAGAGCCCTGATCGACCTACAGAGAGACGCGTACACTCAGAGGGACCCCCGGCGAGGTGAGAGAGCGTACGCGCACCCCGAGGTAGTCGCCCTCGTTGAAGATCTGCGGCGGCAGCGCGGAGGGGTCCCCGGCGCGTCTCCTCATCTCCTCGAGGACACGCTCGTCCACCGACACGTCGATCAGCTGGTAGGGCACGCGCCTGCTCTCCAGGATCCGCGTCACCTCCCTCTGCCGCTGTCTGATCTGCGGGCGGACCGCCCGCGGCGTTGCGCATGGAGGGATAGAGAGAGGGGGGGGGGGAGAGCGAACGCTCGGATGGCAACAGGCGGTCCGAGTCATTATGTGGGGCCAATGAAGGAGAGCGCCTCTCGCCCACGACCCCTGTCGCCCGCCATATCTCTCTGAGACCCCGTACACGGCTTCGTACAAACGGACGTAATCCTGCAAGCGTGCGCGCGGACACGGATGCAACACCACGAACCCATTTGCAAAAATTTGACTCGCATAGAGATCCGTGGAGCTACAGACGCTTACATAGAGGCGCATAGATTCACGCACAGACACACTGACTCAGAGAAACTAATAGTCTCACATAGAGACCTAGAGCCTCACATAGAGACCCATACACAAGTGGCGATGTTTACTACACACCGCACCATGTACTCAATTGAGGCCGAGTCGACCTAGGGGAGGCCCAGGACCGGTTTAGATATTCGTCACTGGCGGTGTTGGCCATGAGCGGGAATCGAAATCAGGTCGGCAGATTCGGAGCGCGGCGCGCTAACAGCTACACCACCGCTCACACAAAGACCCGTGGTCATATCCGTGACCCTATTATAATAGAAGCTTGTGACACCCATTATCCTAATCTTTGCGTGGGATGCCCAAATGTGTCGTGCTTATCTGCGAGAAATTGGGGGTAAAGAGGATGAATGTGCCCGATTCACTTCTATCATCCGCACAAAAAGAGTTGCGGATAACGGGAAACCGTTCTGCAAGAGCGTGTTACGCTTATTATCCACTCGTGTTCCCCGTGCCACATCGCGGGAAAAGGCTTCCCCGTTATCTGTAACTATGTGGATAAAAATGCCTTCATTAGCATATTCATCACAATTACAGCACCCTACGACCGTCACCACCACAATCATCACCACTCCCCTCCCTCGGGTTGCTAAAGTGAGCACCACCTCGTGAAACCGCTGCGCTACTCGGAGCGCGGGAAGTTCTTGTCCTGTGGAAAGCAACACGTGTCCCTGTCATAGTAATGTGGAATTCCCACCACCGGATGATAAGCACCACCTTTGGAGACGGCCCCACTTACAGATTGAAAACGAATTTCTTGATAACTACTTTGTGTGTTTAGTGTGATATATACAGGCACGTACGAACTTATGGCCTGGCAGTCATGAGCCAGAGTGCTGCACCTCCCAGTCACTCGTGGAAACACGCGCGGGATAAATCGGTCACACGAATGAGACATCGACACCCGAGCCCCCCCGCCCACGTGCTGCATACGCACGGGAGCGGTGGCGCAGCGGTTAGCGCACTTGGAGCGTGACCAACGCGGCGACCTCTCGAGTTCCCATTCCCGCTCACAGCTACAACATCGGCGACGATGATCTGAACCGGGTCCTTCCTGGGTCTACCTCCCCTAGGTAGACTCGGCCGTAATAGAGTACCGGCTGCGGTGTCTAAACATCAGCGCTTAGGAGACAAAGGTGGCCGGGCGCGATTCTGGCCACAATACAAAGATCCCCCGTATAGCCTGAACAGACTGTCGGGGCAAGTGCTGTTAGCGAGTAGCACATACGAAGGCCAGAACGGAACACGAGGGGGTGGGTGGCCAGCACCACGCCCGACCGCCTTTGTCTCCCAAGTGGCGATGTTTTTACACACCGCACCAGGTACTCATTTGAGACTGAGTCGACCAAGGGGAGGAGGCCAGGACCGGTTCAGATAATCGCCACCGGTGTTGGCCGTGAGCAGGAATCAAACTCGGGTCGCCAGGTTCGTAGCGCAGCGCGCTAATGGCTACACCACCGCTCCCCGCAATTCTGGCCAGGACATCAGGGACTCCGCTACTTACTAACTTTTTTTTAACTTACCAACAAGACCTCTAGAACCTAACTCGTTCGTAGGTAGAGGAGTCGCTGTATAGATTTATCAACACACCAAGATGTGCATTGCATGTACCAAAGCTCTTAGCCTTGTGCAGACCACCAGCTCCAAAGAACTGCATCTGTCGGAATATGTCGAGTACTTTAATCAACATCTCTGCTACTTAATAGGTGCTCGCTAACAGCACTAGCCCCCTACAGTCTGTGTGGGCTATAAGGGGGAATTTTGTCTTTGCGCTGCCATGCACGGATGTGCGTGAGTGAGTGATTCTGTGAAAGTGAATCCACGTCTTAGTGTGTGTGAGTGAGAGCGTGAATGTGGGGGAGCGGTGGCGCAGCGGTTAGCGCACAGAGACCCGAGTTCGATTCCCGTTCACGGCCAATGACAGTGGGCAGCGAAATATCTGAACCGGCCATGGCCCTCCCTCCCCTAAGTCGACTCAGCCTTAAAGGATTACCTGGTGTGGTGTGGGGAGACAAAGGTGGACGGGCGTGATATTGGTCGTCCATCCCCTTCGAGTGCCGTGCCGGCATTCGCAAGTGCTCGCCAACAGCACTTGCCCCAACAGTCTGCTGAAGGCAATACGGGGGATCTTTGCCTTTGCCAGGGTGTGTGTCAGGGTGTGCACTAGTACAGCTCGGCAGTGCCCGCTATGCTAAATATAGAAGCGGCGCTCCACTGTACGGAGAGTGGAGCAACATCGCGCTCATTCTCATCTGCGTGTCCACTTACGGACAGTTACACGGATTCCAATGTAGTTTTTGAACCAGTCTGTGTTGGTGATGCTGCTGCTGTTGCTGCGTAGGCGGTGGTGCACAAATCACGATAACAACTCAACACGTCTGACAATAGCACCGTGTGGCCTTGAAAGGACAATTATAACGGATGACGTTTCGAGCAAAGGCCCCTTTTCAGCGCACATAGGGAGGCCAACTATGTGGCCAACTCTCTGCCCTCTATGTGCAATAAAGCAGGTGCGTTGCCCGAAACGTTGCCAATTATATCTCTGTGTTTTTTTCTTCATTTTAAGCCACGCGGTGTCATTGACGAGCTTTTTTTGGGGGGTTTGGCCACGTGGTGGTTTTTTGCTAAAAATTGTTGTCTGAAACCGTCCACCACCCGACAGGATTGTCAAGTCTACACAGATAGTGTTTAAATGGCTAATGTATTGATCAGACTATGATCAATGTATTGCTCAGATCATGATCAATGTATTGTATTGATGTATCAATTTAAGCTATCAATGTATTTATCAAAATATTATAAATGCATTGAATTGATGTATCAATGCATTGTATCAATGTATTGATAAAATTCTGAGCAATGCTAAGGTCAGATTTTTATCAATAAATCTCAGCCTCTGTATGTGTGTATGCGTGTGTGTGTGTATGTGTGTGCGTGTGAGGAGCTCACAAATCCTTGAAAGATCTGGGCAAGGTCCCATCGTTGAGCTCCTCAGGCAGGCAAGGCTGCGTTGGCTGGGTCATGTAGCCCGCATGCCCAATCACCGCATGCCCAAACAGCTTTTGTTCGGCCGGATCGAGGGGGCAAAACGGGTGCGACACGGGCTAGAGAAGAGATGGAGTGATGTGGTACAGGAGGACGTGGAGCTGAGTGGACTTGCCGATGACTAGTACCAGCGGTGTCAAGATCGGCCTCTGTGGAGGAGGCTCGTGAAGGACGCTACTGTCAAGTTGGAGGCAGTCGCCCTCCAACAACAACGGAGGGCAGAGGAGCGACGCTCACAACAATGAGCGGAGCGCCGGGTGGCTAAAGAACAGCAAGTTGGCACAGTAGGGGGCACAGGAGGTGCATCAGCCAGTCATCTCAGTCATCTCAGTCAGTCGACCCGTGGCACCTGGGTCTGCCCCGTGACCTTCTGCCAGCGGGCGTTCAACACTGCACGTGGCCTCAAGGTGCACATGGCCTGGCACAAGCGTCGTGGTGACGTCACCGCCACTTAGTGGCGAATGGCGGTTGTTGTGTGTGTGTATTTGTGTGTGTATGAGTGCGTGTATGTGTATATGTGTATGCGCGGCCTTAAAAGAAACAAAATATTTAATCGGCGACGTTTCGGGGCAATGACCCTTCTTTATAGCACATATGTAGAGAAGCAAGCGGAGAGAGAGAGTGGACGATAAAGAGGTTTTTGGGTTGGATCTCATGAATATATAAATATCATTCACCCCGCCACCACCACCCGACACAGTCAATCAGTAAGGGGTTTGTCACGGAAACAAAAACGCGTCCAGTTCGTTACTAGTTCAGCTCTCACCGGTGTGTTAGAGAGTAACCCCAATTGTAAGTGTTGTGGGTTTACTCTCCAACACACCGGTGTGTTAGAGAGTAACCCCAATTGTAAATGTTGTGGGTTTACTCTCCAACACACCGGTGTTTTAGAGAGTAACCCCAATTGTAAACGTTGTGGGTTTACTCTCCAACACACCGGTGTGTTAGAGAGTAACCCCAATTGTAAATGTTGTGGGTTTACTCTCCAACACACCGATGTGCTGCACTATTAACGAATTTCCATGTTTTGTTTACGTGACAAACTTTACTAATTGGCTGTGTCGGGTGGTGGCGGGCTTAACGGCACATTTATATTTACGCGATTTAACCCCCAAAAAATCCACTTATGGATAATATTGGTCGCAAAAGCCTCCTGCGTGTTAAACTGGATGATAAAGAGTTGGGGGCTGAGATTGTTTACACCATGGGGGCCCAGGTGATGAGAATTACAATTTTTTTTTTAAGTTCTGATCACCAGTTTTTAAACAGGCTTAATGAATAGTTACACGCATAGTAGCCATCGAGTAACAGACAGATTCACGAACAGTGCCCCTAATCGCGGGCTCTGACGCTCGCAAATGCTGAGGAATGCTCTCCACATTTGACCATGTAGGGCAGTGTTTCTTAACTTTTTACTGCAGCCTTAAAAACCCCTTCGGTTCTCAATCGTAAAAAAATGTTAATAAATACTTAGGGCTTGATGAAACAAAGTTGTACTTCCGTGCCCGTGTTCAATTTGTGTTTTCGATTATTTACCGTCTAAAAAAAAATCTGCCCATGTCTCGAACCCCCCAGAAAGGGCAGGGGGTGCGTGCACCCCCTGGGGGGGTGAGAAC